TAGAATTATGGAAGAGATAAGGACATAGCAGTACTATTTGTAACGATTATTTTTCAAATAGCCAACGACTCTATTTTGCTTGGCTATATAAGAAAATGATTGTATGTTTAAATGTTGCTTATTGCATGTGTATGTTAGTTGCTTGTTGCAAGTTGCATATTGCTCATAACCAGTTGCAACGTTGTTGGTGTTCAATGTTAAAAATGAAATTGTCATTATTTGAACATAACCAAAAAGTTATAAACCTCTATAATAACAACAAGAACAATTGTTATCAAAATGATTCTTCAATCATGTTGATACCAATTATAATGAAATCATTGATTTACAATGTGATTAATTTCATATGATGCAAAAAGCTTGCTAAGCCGCAGAAGATAATGAAAATGATCATGAATGCTCCAGTTACAAATCCACAACACATATGTTGTGCTTTAAAGTAATCATAGAAGAAAATGTAACAAGGGAAGTTGTCCAGAATGTTCTAAAGTGAATCAAGATGAAGAAGTTCTTCTCTCTACTACATCAAGATCAACAAAGCTTTCAGAAGCTTATGAAGAAGAAGACTTCAGCAATTCAAGTGCTTTGGATTGTTGCCCGTGAAGAAGATACTTGAAGAAAAGAAGAACATACATTGAAGATACAAAAAAATTTAATATCTTTTAGTGTGTATTAGGTTCTTCTGACGTACTTAATTTTGTTTACATCCAGCTTGTGTAGAAGCATTATTATTGTAATCAAATGTAAATCAAATTGTTATTTGATGGTTCCTTGAGAGACTCGGTTGAGTTAGAATTCTTAAGACTTTGGTTGTGGTAGTGGATTCTATTGGGTCAATGGTAGTCATATCTTAAATGGATTGAGTGAAGGTCATCTTTGTGAGATCACTGATAGATATCATTGGAAGGAAATCTTGGTAGGAAATTCTGGTGAATCGGATTCTATTGGGTCAATGAACATCATATCCAGTCTAGATCCCTGAATGCCTTATTGGATGTTAGTCACTGGCGGTTTCCCGTGCGATTGTAATCAGATTGATTATAGTGGATTAAGTCCTTGAGTTCAAGGTGAAATCACCTCGGAAGGATGGACTAGACTAGCTTGGGGGTTTCTCAAGTGAACTAGGATATATCGTGTGTTCTTTAGTTTTTCTTATGCTTTAGAGTTTATGTTTTCTTAACTTAATTAGAAGCATTACTTAGAAGTTACACTCAAGCATTGTTCAACAAATAATGCCTAGAAGCGAAAGTCATTCAAGAAAGGAAAACCCAATTCAAACTTTCCATTTCTTGTGTTTTCTTCACACCTTCAAAATGTTTTCGCAAATTTTCAAAAACACGTTTTATTATTTAAATCCTTTTTGTTTCAAAATTTACTATCAATAATAAATGAAATTTTGCAAGTAGAATAAGATAAGAATTGCAAATAATTGGATAAAGGCTGAAACTTTATTAATAGAATGGTAGTTCGCAAATGGAGTGACTCCATAGATGATTACAAAGTTTAGAAAATGGTAAATACATGGAAAAGGTACATTGAAATACAATGGCCACTATTCTCCCTAACAACTTTAAACTCTTGTGTTTAGGATTCAATTGAAGAGTGGTGAGAATCCGAGGAAGATTGTTGCTTCAATGATCAAGTCTTGTCTGATGCAGTTACTTTCCAGAAAACCCTAACTTTTTCCTGGATTGCCCTTGTGGGTTTTCAATCTACCGGGATGATTTATTCTGTTTATGTCTCTAATTTTTTCTTGGATCACCCTTTCGGGTTTTCAGCCACCGAGATGCTCATTTTTACCTAAGTCTCCCTTTCGTGTTTTCAACTTAGGAGATGTTCTTTTATTTCTTTAGGCGACGTATTTCTTGACTACATCAGCATTCAGGGAACGTGAGAACTCCTCACCATCCATTGTTTCAAGAATCAATGCACCGCCAGAGAAGGCTTTGTTTACAACATGTGGGCTTTCATAATTATGAGTCCACTTTCCCCTAAAATCAGCATTAAAAGACAATATCTTTCTAAGCACGAGGTCTCTTTGTCTGAATTCATGAGGTCTGGCCTTTTTATCAAATGCTTTCTTCATTATCTTCTGGTATAACTGGCCATGAAACAAGGCGGTCATTCTTTTTTCTTCAATCAAATTAAGCTCGTCAAACTTGTCTTAGACCCATTCAGCCTCTGATAACTTGGTTTCCATTATCATATGCAAAGAGGGAATCTCAACCTCGATAGAGAGCACTGCTTTCGTGCTATAAACAATAGAGAAAGGGGTTTCCCTCGTTGAAGTGCAGACGAATGTATGATACCCATGTAAAGTAAACACTACAACAAATAATACATTTCATAACGAAGCTTTCATGTCCAACAAGCTAAAACTGAGAGGATATGACCTGGGAGCGCTTTACTAATAAGATAAACAATATTTCACGCTGGTGTTATAAAAAACTGAGGTAATTTAATTATAAGTAAATGCCTTTTATAATCCTTAAAATAATAATAAACTTGTTATCTCAGTTTTTATTTTAGACCCAAGGCAATATAGCAATAAGGAACCTCGCTTTGAATCCTCATTTCCGCATTTAATACTTTTTTCAACGATTTATCACAAGAATAAGAAGTAATAGTAAAAGAAAATATTTCATTGATAACAAAAAAAGCAACACAATAAAGAAAACTACTCAACAAATTCAAACTTCTCAACCCACTCAACTTTAACATCACCCCTAATTATCCCTAACTTATCAAAAAGTACAGAAAGAACTCTTCCATAAGGTATGAGGAAAGTCTTCTCCTCCCAAGAAGCCTTTATTGTTTCCTTCAAGAAGGTGCAAATGGTAAGACGAAGATTAACTCTCAGGTTGTGGGTAAGGAATAACAAGAGATGCTTGTCATACCAAGTAAGTGTTTTCAATTCTTTCTCTCTTGGGCGGAGATTTGACACTAGAAGTTGAAACCAAAATCTTGGAATAGGGCGTACAGAAGTAGGACTAGAGAGATTAGTATCTTTGACATAACGTCAGCTTAGGTGGTCTGCATAGACACGATTGGATTTATAATGTTCAATACAACTACAAAACTATTTACAATTGATTTCCAAAGCAATCAGTGATGGAGTAATGTATAAAGGAGTGCCATTGACATGGGATTGTATGATTTTTTTCATGACCAGTTGGCACAAGGGACGCATTCATCCAGAACTCTTTAACGAGTTTAGTGTATATGGGGCCATGTAGAACGTCAAAGTAACCACTCAACTTTCGTTTGTTAACAGATTTCCTTAGTTCAAAATGATCGAAAAAGACTTTGTAACAGATTCACATCCATTTTTGGATAAAAAAGATTTTGAAATTGAGAGTTAATAATGAGGCGTCGAAAATAGGAAAAGACTTTTAATCAATGAGTTGGTAATTAGACGTTTAAATAGATCAAAATCCTTCTTGATAATATAAAAGAGACGTTACAACTTGAATATAGTTGATCATTGTTATTCTAGTGATATAATTCCAATGCATGTGCGCCACATGTGTGTTCTAACTTTGTATTTAAATGTTCAAACCCACCGGTCTTCCTAAATACCAAGGGGTAATTTAGCTTTAAAATAAACTTGTAACTCTATTTTAATTTTATTTTTTATTTTAAAAATAATTGTTCTAACCCGGTGATTTTCCTAAAAAATCAAGGGGACCTTAACGTTAAAATCGAGGACATTTATCAAATCCTTGCAGTCCATTTCATGACTATCAACGCTCCAGACCTAACCCTTAGTGATCCACATGAAACATAAAAAATCCATTGTTCCTATCATTATAAAAGCATTCTGAAGCATGAAGAGTTTAAGGTTTACAAGAGTGTTTTCCATGAAGAGTTCTCTATGATGGATTGCAAGAGCGGAAAATTATTTGGGTTTAAAGTTTTTGTTTTTAAATGTTTTCCATGAAGAGTTCTTAAATATTTTTTTATCAAAAAATTATTTATTCATCTAACTGTAATACCCCAAATTTGTCCTACCTTTCTATCAAGAAGCATTCGGCTTAGGCTTTCGATTCCATATGCATATTTTCCATCAGGTCATTTGCATTAACATGTATTCATTCAAATAAAACACTCGAGGTTCAAAAGATCAGTAAGCACACAAGGATAGGGTTTTCTTTTGGTGCGAGATTCCATCCAATAAAGTTGATTCACCTAATTTTTCCTTTGAGCAGTGAAGTGTGAATTAGGGTTTCATCGTCGCTTCAAGTTGAGATATGCTTTGGGTTAGAGGATCAGGCTTTCTACTTATTATGCTTAAACATTGGAAATGGTTCTTCAGCAAAGGATATTTTGATTGAAGTGGCTCATGTGGACTTCTTCAAGTGTAAGTCCTCGGAATTGAAGGCAATTTATTTGAAATCCTTACCAAGCAATTTATTTGTGTTTGGAGCATTTGAAGTCGAGAGTTTCGTGGAGTTGAAGATGATTTTAAAGTGCATCCAAAATATCATGGAGTTCAAATGGAGTTCAAGTTGGTATTCTGGTTAGGAGAACATATCATTCAAGGGAAAATCATTCATCATCATTTAAAGTCCTTCTTGATTCGAGTTTCTTTCCAAAATTGGTTTGTAACAGCAATATTGGAAGATTTATGACGAATTTTGTGGATTCAAGGATTATCTTATTCAAATTTAATTCATGATTTGGTTTGGAATTTCATGTGAATGTTCTTTATCCATATCCTCATAAGTTCCAGCTCAATTATCAAACACCAAGGTTCATCATAAATCATTCAAAACCATCATTACTGTTTCATACAAGTCCGTACCGTTATAGAATGTTATTGTAAATCTCATGTTACAAATTTCCAAAAAAAACATTACATCATACAAAAAAAATATACAAAGAATTAAGGAGTTATTCAAGAAACGTTGGAAATTTAAAAGAAGTTTTTAGAAGGAAAGGATTACAAGATACTATCCTACAAAGTCTGAGAAACAAGTTGTTAAACATCATATACAACTTCATGATTCTTCCATAGTCTTCATGCCCCTGACTTTTATCCTCTTGATTAAGTTTTCGTTCTTCATGACCAAACTCCCACTTGCTTCAATGATATTCCAATTTTCCAATAACCTGAGTATTAATTCACATAACCTGCATCAGTAAACAAAAGAGCAGCCCATAGGTTCAAATCCGGTGCACTTTCAAATCATCATCAGAATACAAAGCAAAAACATTATCCTTCGAGTTCATTATACAACAGGAAAGTAAAAATCTCATCCAAACACAAGTTGCAACATGCTAGTTTGATACCTGGAAGCTTCTTAACCAATTGATTTCTGTAACCAACTCACAAACTAACAGTCCATAACAGAAATCCCAAACTGCTTCAACCTCCTAATTATTTCTAAACAGAAATTACAATAGAAAATATGAACTATTTTCTAACCAACAGCAAAACTGAACCAAAACCTAACCTCCTAACCATAATCTCATATAACTCCCTAACTGCCAACTCCATAACCCCCAAGTGTTTCTAAACAGAAATAACCATAAAAATTAACAAACTTCCTGTAACTTAAAACACTAACTGACTTTACAAACAGAAAAGGCAAGTACTTGACTCACTGAGTTGTTGGTAACTGATTAAGTTAGCAATCCTAACCAACTGAGTGGAACCTAACTAACAGTTAAATCCTCACCGTTCAATTTCCTTAAAAAAAAATCCAAGAGCTGGGATTCACTTTGCGACAAAAAATTTCAGATTAAATAATAGAAAGAGATCTCACATAAGGGATTGGATTCATTCATATCACACAGAGAAAAATTCACAAAAAGAAACTACAGAGAAAACTCTCTCTCTCTCTCTCTCTCTCTCTCTCTCTCTCTCTCTCTCTCTCTCTCTCTCACTCTCACTCTCTGAATTCACAATCATTGATTCACAGAGAAATTTAGAAAACAAATAACTCACCTCTAAGTTATCCTCTGCAAACTCCTATGCACTTCCTTCATCATTTTTCTTCATGTTCTTCAAGCATCATCTTCTTCTGCATTTTCTTAAAGCTTCAACGCACCTTCGATCATTCATCATCTTCATCTTCGTATGGAAATCACCTTTTGCACTCCGCTGAGCTTCATCTTCATCGAACAACAATTCCACAACATGCATCTTCGTTCTTCAAACTCTGTGCATCATCAATAAACTACTGCACACAATGCTCATAGCAAAAAATGCGTCACAGAATAAAACACAGAATAATAAAGCAATTCAAAATAAGAAAATAATCGAGACAGGAAGAAGAAGAATTGGTATAAGCAAAACAAGATCAAGAAGAATTTGAAGCCTATCACCTGAAATTCCATAGAAAAGGGAGATAGAGGCACAAACGGTGACGCTATAGAGATAAGATTTTAGCCGGGGCGGTGCATCAATTAGGAAAGAAGATGAGGGAAGGAGTTTATGAGACGACGATGGGATAAAGGTCATGGGTGACAGAATTTAGTCACGACGAAGAGGATAATAGTGTCGCATTGTCTGTGTTGAGGGAGGAAGAAGTGCTTTTCTTGTTTCACGATGAAGCTCAAAAGCCACAAATGATAACCCTTATCTCTTGCCAAAAACGCAGCGTTTAGATTCTGATCCCTTCTTATTTATGCCTTTTTTTCTTTAATCTATTATTAACAATATCAAAAATGATAAAAATGTCAAAAATTTGGTGGATTATGATTTGGATTAGGATGAGCATTAGGCCTGTTATACTTACACATCCTCTAGATCCATGCACCACCTAGTCTTATTTTAAATATCCACTTTGATTTTTAATTTCTAGCAATTAAGTTCTCGAGTTTCTTGCATGATTTTTGGTTGAAGTTTTGTGTGAATATTAGCATGTTAATGTCTGACTTTTTTATTTTTTTTCTTCTTATTTTTCCTATTAGTTTTAGGATTTAATTTATTAAATTTTGAAAATGGTTAGAATTAGGTTTTTTAGGTGTTCTTGTCGATTCCTTATCCTTGATTCAATTTCCTTGGCATGATGATTATTTTAATGGCAGGTTCTGATCCATAATTGTTTGAGTAATGGTTTACTTGCAGTTTAATAATCTGGATACATGTGCTTAATGCTTGTGTCGTATGGTTGAGTGTGTGAAGCTTCTGCAAAATTGCTCGAGTTTTTGTATGGCTTTTAAGAGGCGACAGACCTTCTCTGTTAGCTAAGATTTTGCAATAGAATGTCGATGTAACTTCGGCAATATGGAATGCTTGGAGATTAATTCTTCGATCACTTGTGAGAAGCAGCTTCTGTAGAGTTCTCTCTTCTCTTGCATGGTTTTGAAGAGGCAACTGACCTTCTCCATTTGTTACCATTGCAACTTCATTTTATTCCTCACTTTGGCACTTTATCATACTTCCTTACCTCTTTTCTAGAAATCATGAGAAGTAGGACTTTACCACTTTCTGATGACATGAGAAGTAGGGTAGATATGTGTGATGGGGGTCTCTATTGTTGATCATGTCAGGAACCCCTCTGGTTTATTTAAAGATTTGTTTAGGGAAATTTTGCATTGTGTGCATTTTGTTTTCTATTTGTGGTTGTTTAAAACCCTACCTTTGTGTAGGTATTTTGCAGGTGTGTTTATATTTGTGCCCGCATTATTCCCCCATCCCTTATTGAAGTCCTCAAAGGGAGGAGATCGGGGAGGGTTCGCAATCAACCCCCACAATTTCGTCTGTGTCATCCTTAGCTCGTTACGCACCACGATGCTTCAGAGTTGTGCCTGCTCATGTGTATCGATTCGTCAAGTGGGGAAGGGTTCTGCAATCGAACCCCCATATTTTGTCAGGAGTTCACATTGGCCGGTGCTGATACTCCATGATCGTTCATATTGCCTTATGTCGCCTACCTCGATCTCATATATCTTGGTTAGGTGTTCAGTCGCTTTGGACACCACATTTTGGTTTTTTCATCTCACTCCCGCTTGTTTGTCTCGGGTGATACGCTCCCCTTGACTAAAGCATTTAGTTTCTTTTCCTTATCCTTTTATGTGTATGCTCTTTCGAGCTTGTTTGTTTACTCTCTTTCCATAACATGTTCCCTTAGGATATGCTCGCTCCTTTTGGATGCAAGTTAGAACTTAGGTTTCAAACCATGCATGCTAACATTAGGTAGACATTTCCCTTTTGTTAATCCAAACTTTAAGACCACCATTGTATGATAACATTAGGTTAGAAATAGGCTTGTCTCCCTTTAGACTCTTTTCTTACCTTTTGCATCCTTGCATTTAAAACTAAAACTTTTTTCTTTAGCAAATAATAAAACATGCTAATCTCACTTAAACCCTTTTCAAGGTAACAAAATACAAACCAACTCAAACCTTTTTTGTACGCTCAAGCACCTTTTCTCTAAAACCCTTTTCAGGTAAGGACATGATTAATTTACTTATGTGCCAACACGTGAGTCTCCAAAGGTCGAGCTGCGGCAGAAGGTGGAATTAACATTGTTCATAAAAAATACAAAACAAACAAAAAACATGTGAGCCGAACTATGGTAGCTCTGATTCCTCAAAAAGGATACGTAGGCATTGGGGTAGGGCCCAAGCGAGTATAACTTTATTTTCCCTACATTCTTTTCTCCTTTCTTTTACATGCATTCCCCCCTTAGAAGTAGTAAACAAAAAGCATAGTTTAAACACACCCATAAGATAGACAACAAGAGTGGATATCGTAGAGTACTACAGGCGTGTGGGGTGCTAATATATTCCCCTTGCATAACAGACTCCCTTACCCGATCTCTCGGTCGTAAGACTGTGACTTCTCTCTTCTCAGGTTTTCTTGATGTTTACCTTTCCCTTCATGTGGAATAAAAGACATTTGGTGACGACTTCATTGTTTGATGATTTTCAGCTGGTGACTTCACTGGGGAATGGTCGACCAAATGATGGTGCATCCCGGAGTTGCTCCTAGCACTTGTTTCCTTTCTTTGGGTGTTTATTTTTATACTTTAAGTTTATTCAGTCATACATGATTACTTGAGCATATGTATGCTTCGCATTTTACTATTTTCCATATACTACTATTGTACTGGATCTGCTTCTTATTTGGTGGGTGTTACTATGAGGTAAATGGCCCAATACCCAGGCCAAGTGACAACCATAGGAACCATAGGAATAGAGTGGAACATGAACGACTAGTTGACGTAGGTTTCACTATTGCTTCCATGTCATCCACGCTCAGATGAGGTACAAATGAGGGGCTATCATTTTCACGTAGGTGATACGGCAATAGTTTTTTTTTCCAGGATTACCCTCGATTCTGAGTTACCTGACCTTACCCTGGGCTAGTTTTCACCCATGAGTGGGGAGGGAATTATTATCACAGGTACATTTGGTGACTATATTCAGATGGTGGTTGTTTGTTCTAATGATTATGTTCTGGATTTCTATTGGTGACTAGGAGGTTCTCAGATTTATTTTTTGAGTTTCGAATCTGATGTTCATGAGGTTCTTCCAGTTGTGTCCCAAACCTGTAATCCTGGTACTAGCAGACTATGCAAAGACAGTACAACAAAAATCTATATCATGGAAGTAGTAATCCCATGATCACTTGCACTTGCATCATAGCATGCTTATTTTTCAAAAGAAATGTCAGGAAAACGAAACTATATACCAACCTTGCACGTGCATGTCCATTCCGGGTTATCTCACGAAGTTATAGTTTCCGTCAGTAACATCTAGCAACAGTGATGTTCTCAAGAAGACCAGAAGAGACAATTATACTTCTCAATTTCTTGGCCTTATTTGAAGAGTTTAAAAGACCGCTTAGTCCGTCCTAATGCAGGGGCTTTTAGTGAAAGACATGGTGGTGCTTTGACTCCACTCCAGTTTTACGACTATGAGTTACGTTGTTTCACCTTCCAGGACTATCAGGTTGCTCCAACTTCGAAAGAGTACTTTCATTTGTTCAAGATTACCGAGCACATATTTGTTGTTGTTCTGAACAAGCCCGATCTTGAAGCTATTGCTAAGGCACTTTATTTGGGCCTTAGTGATGTGAGATAGAGATGGAGAAAGAATGGTAGCCTACCTTCATACTAATTATTATATTATTGTATCGATTACCGCCAAGCTTGTTGGACGAAATCGCTTATCTTGTACTCTCGCAACTTTCTTGTATTGAATTTCGCAGAAATTTCTCCTATTTCTGGATATTCTCTTTATGTGGTCATTCTTATTATCATGTTGCTCGATTATTACTGACGTCGATTAAGCTGTGAAAAATCGGAATGGATAATCATTTAATACATCATACATGTCATGCATTTCATGAATTGTAGGTTTTTCTGGCGGGAATTCTTATATGATGGTTTTGCCTCTTATTATCAGAATCTACAAGACGACTTCCTTACATCCTTATCGCACTCGAGCCAACAAGTTGAGGGTTATGGAGCATATTAAGAAGAACCAGGCCGCCCTCCGCAAAGACATGGACACCATGGGCGATCAAATGAATCAGCTCATGAAAACTCTTCATGTCGTCATCCAAGGGTAGGAAGAACTCAGACTGAGTGTTACTAAGATGGATGACAGTGCCTCTACATCCAAGAATGGTGGACCCAGGAATGACAATGGGGGAATTCCTAAAGAGAACCCACGGTTGATTATGGATGACCACCATGATGTCATCGATCTCGATGGCCCTCCAAAGGATTCTAAAGTTGATTTGTCTGAAACTGTTAAAATGTACAAGGCTTTGGAAGAACGTTTGAAGGCTATGGAGACTTCCAAAAAACCAGGATTCAGTGTTATTGCTATGTGTTTGGTTTCGGGGGTTGTGATTCCACCAAAGTTCAAGGTACTTGAATTTGACAAGTATAAAGGGGTTACATGCCCAGAGACTCATTTCCGATCTTACTGCAGAAAGATGGTTGCTTATGCTAGCAATGAGCCGTTGCTCATGCATTCCTTTCAAGACAGCCTGGTGTTGGCTCCTAAATTCGACACCCTTGTTTTTTATTAATATAGACTATTAATCATGAGGAATGGTTTCGACCAGCTGATCCTGTCGAATGCTTGTCAGAAGGTGGCAAGGTACTTAGAGGATTTCTTTAAGTGGGAATCTTGTTGCCTTCGACGTCGAAGAAATCTTGTTGCCTTCGACGTCGAAGGAAC